AATAAGCGTCTGCCCGGCCACCTCATTAGGCAGAAACTCCCACTGTTGAGGCCCGAGGGCTGTGGGGGCCGAGCGGGGGCCAGTGCGGGAAGAGCAGCACTAAGAGCCGCCTCCCTTGCCTCTCGCCTGCACGGGCACCGCGGCAAGGGCCGCAGCTGTTGGTGTAGGAGAGCAGCATCCTGGTGCTGGGCTAGAGGAGTTCCCGCAGGTCAGTCAGGGCCGGCTGTGGGAGGCTTTTCCAGGCTGAACGCACCAGGCGCAGCGAATTGGAAAATTTAAAGTGAGGAGGGGGCCAATAGAAACTTTAACCGGCCCCGCCTTACCTCAAACAAGAAAAACAAAAACGTCTTCTGGGCTAAAAATACATATTTAGAAAGTCCCTGTGCGCAAGCAGGCGGCGCGTTCCAGCTGCCGGCCTGGCCCGGGGAGGACTTGGCCGCGCGGCCGCCGATTACACCCAGCTCGGCTGGGATGGCTCCGAGCCGTCTGCCCTGACGTCAGCGAGGCTCCGGGCCCCGCCGCGGCGAGATAGGCAGCGCGGCCGGGCGCGGGCGCGGCGCTAATCACTCCCAGATGTCCCTAATAGCGGAGATAAAGACGGACGGAGCGGCCGGGAATAAATTTGTAATCAGGGCTCTACCATCTGATCATCAAAGCGGCCCAAATGCCAGGAGAATTTGAAGGGAATGTGTGTGTAGGGGGGTCACGTTTAGGGGAGAGGCGGGGGACACGATCCTCGAAGGAAACTGACTTGGGCAGGGTGGAGCGAGAACAGGGAGAGAAGTCTAACTTCTGTGCGCGTGTAAGTCAGATACGCAGCGCACTTTAACTTCCACCAGCCTGACTGGCCGAAGCCGCTGAGCTGTTAGAGGCCAGTTAGAGCCCGGCAGACAGTTGCGGTGCGGAGAGCACTCGCCGGGCAGAAGCTGGGGGGCAAAGCTGCGTGCCCAGAGCTGCCCGGCCCCCGGAAACGTGCGACTGTTTCCTCTCCTGGAGTTACCCCCTCCTCCCCTCCCCCCTTTCTAAACAGTTAAAAAATATTTCGTTCTCCCACATCCCCATCCCCTCCCCGCCACCCCGTAGACGTGAACCCTACAGCAAGGCTGAGCTTCCTCAGGAAGGGGGGTCCTGGGGCCCCGAGCAGGGGTCCTGGGCCCCAGTCTGAGGGCGGCTCCAAGGTCTTTCTCTTCGAGGGATCCGCGGGCTGCGACAGGCCAGGAGTCCAGTGCGTCGCGGAGACTTGTTAGTGCCACCTCCTCAAGCAGGGGTCTGGACCGTAGGAGTAGGGCTGGGTGGAGGGAAGGAGTTCCCTCAGGTCAACAGATCCAGGAAAGACATGCAGAGCCCAGGGTTCAGGTTGGGCCCTTTACGACGCGTACGCCACAAGCCTCCTTTGCAGATCATCTCGGCTTGGCACCTACCACCAGTTCCTTTTCCAAGTCCAGGCGCGTGGGTGGGACTCGCGCGCAGAGAGAACGCAAGGCGGCTGTGGAAGAGAAAATTGGGAGCCGCACACGCAGCGTTAGACACAGCATTTCTTTAAAGCTACAGGAATAGCCGAGAGGTTTCCCGCGCTTTTCAGACTCGCAGTGCAAATGCTGTTCCGGCTATTGTGGCATCCTCGGACCAGTTTATTGTCCCCTGCACGCACACCTCAAGCGCTTGCAACTGGCCCGGGTTCTCTCTGCAAGCTAAAGTCTCGGAAGTAGCTCACAAACCTGTCTCCTTCCGCTCCCTGTGGCTTTGATTTTGAGCTCACTCTCACCCTAGGCACGCCTTCCAGTGAAATTGGCGTGCACACAACTCACCCTCCTGCTTCCTTAACAATCGGTGGGATACCAGCTCTGTGATCCTCACAGAGTAGAGGCATAGGCAAGGGGGAAGGGATCGAGCCACCCTCCACCCGCGACTCAGGCACACTTGCTACCCTTCCTGGCGCCACCGCTGCCCCCACCTCATCGCGGGGACGACCAGGCCACCTGGTCCTGAGAAGGGCAGCCTAGGCCGGGAGGCCCACCCTTCCTAGGTGCCCGGACCTAGTGGCTCGCCCACTCGGATGCTGGAGCTTCCCACCAAGCCTCCAGAGGGTGGGGCGGGATTTAGAAGGCAGGAAGAACCCCAAGTGATCTTGCTGTCTTCTTCTCATAGTTTCGACCTGAAAAAAACTCTTAAAGCTGCCGTTATGTCCCAGCTGGGGGCCGAAAATCCTGGAAAATTGTGACTGGGAGCAAGGAGTATGCTCAGGTCCTGCTCTGTTGAGCTTTCTAGGTTACTTCCCAAGAAGCTGAGAATGGGTCTGTAGGAACGAACACACACACACACACACACAAACACACACACACACACAGCGGCCGAGCCCTCTCCCCGCCGGTGCTCCAGGGTTATCAGGCGCTCGGCCTGCGCGGCGGTCTGGGGCCGGGCCCTGACAGCCAGATCTACCATCAATTTACCTTCCGCCGCCCCAGCTTCCCATTTAGCTTTTAACGTCAAATCCTGCATTTTTGTCGGCTCCGGCCTGTCTAGAGAGCTTGTGATTTCGCTGCAGGAGTGATTGCTTTTAACAAAATGGCAGCAACCACATTATCCGAGCAATTAAAACAGAGGCCTTTTAGCCGTCCCGCAAGGCAAGAGGTTGGAAACTTTCTTTCTTTCTTTCTTTCTTTCTTTCTTTTTTTTTAAGCACAGAAGAAAGGGAGTTAAAAGAGAAATAAATGTGTAGAAGAGAAAAGCATGGAAGCTCAGAAGAAATGCCGGCCCAGCACACCACTCACTTCCCGGGACTTGACAAGGTGGGGCAGGGATGTTGGGTGGCTGGGAAGGTTGGGATGTCCCCGGTGACTGCAGAGACAGATAATCTGGGGGAGTCTTGCCACTTAGGGTGTGCATCCAGTTAGGGGCCCGGCCCCTTGGGGTGTCGGGTCTGCTGGATGTCTGGCCAGTTGGGATTTCACACAGGTTGGAATGTCGAGATGGTTGAGGTGTCGGGGCTGGTGCTGCTGGGCCAGAGGAAGCGGCTCGGCAGGCAGGAGAGAAGGCGGGCAGCGCCTGGCCCGGGCCAGACAAAGAGGACGAATTTCTGCAGCGCGGGTTTTAAAGCATGTGTAGCAGCAAGTTGCCCCATAGCGATGCTGCTGCCAGGCTCTTCTGGATCTCCTCTGCTGGTGTTTAACAAACCAGAGAAAAGGTTAGACCAGCCAAAGTGCACTAAGGCCCAGATGGTAAAGAAGACCAGCTACCCAAGGCAAGCACAGGCCCACATGCATGATGAAGATAACTCCTCTTCAGTTCCTGGTTTAAAAACCTCACCACCTCCACCACCACTCTCTCCACTATTTCAATAAACTCTTTTCTTCTACCCCTGGGATATGAAGTCTTTCTCCCGATCAGATTAAAGTCAAGACGCAAAAGGCCGTTGGAGGCAGGAAAGGGAGAGAGCCACTCGGTCAAACCGACAGGAATCCTGAGAGTAATAGAAAATCAGGGCGCGCCTCCCTACGCCCCCCAGTGCTATAAACAAAGGCAAGTGTCTGTAAACACAGCCCGCGCCCACCACGTCGGCCCAGCGCCGCCTGACCCGAGGGGAGAAAGTTCAGATCGCTTTGGCCGAGTTGTTCTAACCCTTCGCCCTCGCGTTGTCAGCTGCCCGCAGAAGAAACCCGCAGAGCCACTCGCTCGTCTCTCCCCCAGCGCTTGCGAATTTGCCCGTTGCAGGCGGCAGGCTCAGAGTGGGCACCCGCGAGCCGTGGGAACCCCTGGGATATCAGGGGAGGGTCTGTGCCTGGAGCCGAGGTGCGAACATCACCCCGAGGATGGGTTCCAAGATGGAAACCCTCTGGCAAGCCTCCCTAACACCAGATTTATATACGTGGCGTTTCATGAAACAAACCGCTTTTTAATACGTTTCACCTTTCTTCCCCCACCCCCCCTCCCACTCTCCCCCCACCCCGTCCCCGGCCTGCCGAGTCCTTTATGGCACTTCAGTTTCTCTGGTTCCTAGAGCCAGAATCCCTGCTCTAGCCAAGACTACGGGCAAAGGAGGCCTTAGGGACTTCCCTTCGGGATGTGCTGGGACTCCAGAAGACCAAACCTCAGACGGGGTGACGTCCCCGGCGGCTGGTAGCCAGGGGAGGGAGCCGCTTGTTCGGCTGGCCTGGGGCCGGGAAGACTTCAGACACCGCACAGTTAATATTGAGTTCCCTGTAGCTCCTTGTAAATCTAGCCCCCCCCCACCCCCCTTTAAACCTTCGGTCGTGTTCGCGATTTCTTACTTGACGTAAAATTCCTTGTTACCTAATCATGGACTTTTTCCCCCCAAAAGCTCTCCCCCCGCCCCAAGGCCCACTTAGATGAGACTCACCCTGATGGAGACTACAAGCAAAAAACTCCTCTTTTCCTCTTTTTTCTTTTCCCGGATGAAAACCCTACATTTTGAATTAAAAACTATGGACTATTTCCTGCCGCTGCAGTAACTCCTGGGATCCTCCTCCAATCTCCTCCACCTAAAACACGCTCCCCAAACAAAAACCAGTCCCCCACAGAATGGCATCTGGTTGATTTCGGGAAAACAAGAACACCTTTCCACCTTTCCAGCGAACTGCCAAGGCCTTTCTCGGGCCCCAGCTCCTACTAATACTGACCACTCGGCCTACTCCGGGGGTGGGGTAGGGAGGGCAGCGGGAAGGAGACAGGTCTCTGATAGAGCCCAGGTCCTTTAGCAGGATTTTCACCAAGGACACCTCCCTGCGAGGGCTGGAGCTCACGGTGAGGATTGATCGGAACTACTGACTCTTTCAAATAAAGTTAGAGGCAATCATGATAATTTAGTTTACTTCTGAATATTTTAAATATTATGAAAACAAGTATAACAGTTTTGTTTTCAAAACTCTTTTGAGGTATCAACCATTAAAAGATTGGGGGGGTTGTAAAAAAAACACACAGTGGTTTATTGAATACTTACAACGTTTACACCTTCAATATTAATTAAATTCCACTTAGTTTTAGAGGACGGAAGTGCACAAAACAAGTAGCTGTTGGAAACATCTTCGAATAGGGAATGACCACAGATGATAAGACAGCACTAGATACCGACCCCAACGGAAATGTTAGCGGCCCCGTTTTCTGCTTTGAAATAAAACTTTATAATCCCCAGGAATATTTATATCCAAAGGCCAGGTATTAAAGATACACTTTACATACACACAATTGTCTGCTGTCTTTATCTGGAAGGGGTTGGGTAGGTGGGGAGGGGGCCACGCTGGTGCCTACACAGCCATGAGGGAACATTCACACACAGAGAATCTACGAGACGCCGGGATCCCTTACCACGCAGGAGTGTCCTCTTCATATTAAAATATGGAATGCTTTTCTTCAAATATCCACTTTTTTTTTTGGAGGGGGGAGGTGGGGAGCGGATGCCTCAAAGGGGGGGGCAAAGAGAGGGGAGGCAAATTGCACATAAATAAACCGGATGATTCCAACTGCAAGAAGTCCTCAGAGCAGAGCGTGGAGAGCTTGCCCGGAGTCCTGGGTCGGCTTCCGGCTCCTGGGCCCTGGCTCACTCCCGCTCTCCTCCTCCTCCTCCTCACTGCTTGAGCTCCAGGGCCCAGACGTGCTGCGGCCAGCCCGTCCGGCCTTTGGTTTTCTTGTCGTTGCTGCTCACTGTGCTTTTCAAGATTTCGTTCTGGGCAGAGGACAGGTGAAGGGGAGAAAAGTGGAAAGAGAAATTCAGAAAGGAGACCTGGTTCCACGCTACCCCCGCACTTTTCACGGGGGGGGGGGAAGAGACAGTGAGAGAACGAGCAAGGGATGAGAGGGTTTCAAGTCTTCGCCTCTGTAGAAAAGCTAAAAAGATTGGCGCAGCCCTAGCTACTGCCCAGGCCTCCACGCCCCTGCAACGCTCTACCGGATAGGCAAATTTATAAACAACCAGCCGTTTCCAAGTCGTTTACGGAGGAGCCGGGGGCCTTTTCTCTGACTCCTGATGTAGGGGCACCAGCGGGGGTCAGCGCTAAATCTGGTTTCCCTGTTTTCAATCGCAATCCCAGGTTTGCACTCTAGGGAAGATGGGGATAAGTTCCCTGTGCCCTGGCTTGGGCTGGTGGGCAAGGGGCTCTCGGGACCCCAACACGGCAGTGCCTCTCCTCCGAGGCCTCTGAAATCCCTAGTTATTCGGGAGGTCACTCGATTATGCACAGACTAAAGCACCACAGGCCCCAAAGAAGAAAAATGAGACAAATGGGATTATTTTCCAGGCCCTTCATGGCAACAGTCCTGCTCCGACCACCACCAACCTATGGGCACTTGGTAGGAACTTAAGAAAACTAATTTTCAGTTATAGTTCCATGTTACTGTTAACAACAATAACAATGACCATATTAGTATTTACTGTTTGTCTTAAAATGCTCACGCAAATAAAACAAGAAATACCCATGAAGTACACTAATCTGGGGAGTTTAACCTCATAGCCAAAGAGAAACTGGAGGTGCATTTTGAAGTTAAAAGTACTTATTTTATGTTTACCTTTACGTCTTCTGAGAATTGTAATAATAACCACAAAACTCTCTTAAAATCAGTGGTGGCCTGGTTCTCCAGAGGGGGATAGGGATCAATAGTTGAATAATTGCTATCTAGGGCTTCTGGGCGATTTATTTTAGAAATACCTGAAAGCAAGATAGGACTGGAGGCCAAATGAAGGCTCTAAGAGACATAGAATGATTGCGACAGTGCAAATGGAAGATCAATGGAGACCCTGGGTCCGAAAAGAACGCCCGAAGTGCCGGTGGGAACAGCCATAACCCGGAGGGAAGATCACCAGCGGGAAGCATCCCTCTTAACCTCCTCCTCCTCCTTCTGCTGCTGACACCTCCCCCCCCAATCTCCTCAGCTTCTTGGGGAAACCATTCTCTCCATAACCTGGTTTAAACAACCATGGCTTCGGATGCAGCCAAAAAACTAGGGATGTCATTGCTCAGCCCAGTTGGAGAGAGTCCGGTAGCACCGGTCCCCCGAACCCCACACCCGCTCTGCCCCCTGCCCTCTGGTACTGACCAGCTCCTTCTTCCTCTTCTCTTCTTTCACATCTGTCTTCTTGATCTCCGCCTTGAAGGCCTCCGCCTCGCCATTCTGGTCGTCCTTGGCCAGCAGGTCCATGAGGTAGGCGATGTAGCTGGTGGCCAGGCGCAGCGTCTTGATCTTGGAGAGTTTGGTGTCCGCGGGCACGTTGGGGATACACTCGCGCAGTTCGGCGAAGGCGCTGTTGATGCTCTGAGTCCTACGCCGCTCCTTGCGGTTAGCGGTGCCCCGGCGCTTCACCGGGCGCGGCCCCCCTAGGCCCGGGGGCCCGGCGCCCGGCGGCACCCCCCCGTAATGGGAGTGGTCCAGGCCGGCGGCGCCGCTGGCGTACTCGGGGCTATAGGACAGGGCCATGCTATAGTCGGGGGGCGACATCTCGGGGTGGCCGATGAGCCAGCCATGGAAATAGGGGTTCTCCTCGTGGCTGCAGCGGCTGGCGGCAGCAGCAGCGGCGGCGGCGGCGGCGGCGGCGAACGGATAGCCCTCATGGTGCACCACCGGGTGGTGGGGGAAGCCCCCCACCAGACTCATATCGCCCTCCGCGCCCCTCCACGCGCCCCAGCGTGCGCGTAGCCCCGCCGCGCCCTCGGCCGGGGCTCCTGCTTCTGCGCTGGGCGGCCTCCCCCACCCCCCACCCCCCAGCCCTCGGGCGCCCGGGCCGGCCCGGCAGCCGCAGAGGGGGCTGCTGCAGCCCGGGCCCCGGTCCCCCGCCTGGCCCGCCCGGCCCGCCTCAGCAGCCCTGCGGCCGCCGGCTCCCCATAAGGCGCGGCGAGCTGGTCCCGGCACCGTGCGCCCCTGGCCGCCGCCGCCGCCGCCGCCGCCGCCGGCTCCCGCCTTGCTCCCCGGCCCGCGCGCCGGCTCCTGCTTCCCGGGCAGCTGCGGGCAGGCAGAATCCTCTCGTGCTCATGCAAAGGTGCCGGGGCTCCCGCGGGGCTGCTTTGCGGAGGCGCCGGGCTCCACCGCGGCCGCGATCCTGACACCGAAGCTAACTCGGAGTCCCAGGACGAGTCCGAGCCGCGGTTGGAAGAGCCGGCCCGGCTCTGCAGGGAGGCGGCGGGGTCGACTGCTCACTGTGAAGCTACCTCCATGCGACCCTCCCCTTCCCGCCCCTTCCCCTCCCCCACCAGCCCGATCTGGGTTCTTGGGCGCTTATTGTTTTAATGAAATTTTTGGTTGTTGTTGTTTTGGTTCTTGACTGTGATTTTAGCAGCGAATAACGTGTCCTCACTCCTCTCGGGCTCCCTCGGAGGGTTTTCAGAGAGGTCTCAGTGCATCCATTTTCTCAGATCCTCTCCTTCTTTCAGGGGAAGGATCTGGGGCCCTGCAGGCGCCTCGGAGAGCGAAGGCGGCGGCTCGGGTTCTCGGAGGGGTCTGCGCGGTGGTCGAGGGAGCTCCCGGGTGGCGGCGGCGGCGGCGGCGGCGGCGGCGGCGGCGGCGGCGGCGGCGGCAGTTCTCCTGGGCTGGACGCCGTGAGGGGAGGAAAAGGATTTTCCCAGCAAGATCTCCATGTACAGCTACATCTTTAGGGCTGCTCGGGTTAATATATGTCGTCAGAGGCTCCTCACGCCAATCCCGGGGCGGCAGGGGCGGTGCCTCTCGCTCTCCGCAATAAAACTTTTTGATGTTCTCGTCGCTAATTGTCGAAGTCCTCTTCCAGGATTGGCTGCCCCTTCATAACCATGAGATAATTAAAACGGGGGGGGGCAGGGTTAAAAAAAACTTTTTTTTATCAGCCAGAGGTTGATGCAAGTGTTTAGCAGATGCTTTACTATTAAATTATCCCCCCCCCCCCAAGTCTCAAATCTTGAAGAATCTCAAACCAGGTATAGTATCACTCTGTTTTCTTTTCTGGTTAAAAAAAAAAAAAAAGGTGGAGGGGACGCAGATATCTCTTTTCGAAGTGTTTTTGTAGGTAACCGAGGCAAGAAAATAAGCAGGCAGCCTCGTGCCATTTTTGTGCGGGTGAGGGAGTGGGGGGCGAGAGCCAAGGCAGCGGGCGGCGGCCCCCAACCCCCCCCTCCCCCGGCAAAGGGGCGGCTGGGAGCCGGTCTTGTCTCCTCGCCGAGGCGGCCAGCGGGCGCGGCGGGGGGAAGGCGGCCGCTTTGACCCGGGCACAAGCTGGACATGCCCCTCTCGATGTCTATTTACTTACCCGGCACGTTACCCTGGCGGGGGCTGTCTCAAGTGGCTCCTGTTATCGTGGCTGCTTTTGAAGATCGTGGTTGAGACCCCCGGACGAACGGTCAAGCCGATTGTAAATACTTTTATTTCCATATTCTTCAGGGACACCAGCCCCGGAGACGACCTTGGGCGATTTCAAAGCGCAGGCACCTCGATTCCTCGAATTTGTGATGTGGCCGGTATCGGTGTTCCCCTGGTTTAACTAGCCTGTTTGGTAAGTAACTGAATATTTTTTACAGCGTGTTCAGAGCTTATTTTCCAGTTTTTATGAACAAACATATAAATATATCTCTGCATTCCTGCCTCTCCCATAAAAGCGGGCATCTGTGGAAAGCAGGTTTAGTTATCGGAGGGGAACCATTAAACAGCAGTTTAAGAGGCAGACCGGGAGGACGGCTCGTGGATGTTTAGACTGCTGGCCTTAGTGATCTTGAACGCATTATAACGGAAAATGGATCTCTCTTTGTAAGTCACCGGGCCTGCGGCCACAGCGTCCGCGTGGCGTGAGCATTTTGAGAAAGCGGGAAGAGAGGCTGGGGCAGGGGATGGACAGTGGCGGGGAGCTGGAATCTCCCGGGGGCTTGGTTGGGAGTCGCGAAGGGAGACTGAGGTGTAGATGAGGATTCGGTCTGATGGAGTTTGGTGTGGAAAAGGGTGTCAGCCAGGACCCCAGGGGCTGTAAATTAGAGGAAGCCCAGGGCGGAGTGTACAGGAGACAGCGCGGGGCGGTGGCGGCCTGGGACTCGTCTCTGGGCCTGGCTAGGGTCACCCAGAGAAGACCCTTGCCTCCACCTTGGGTATTGTCCTTTGGAAGCAGGCAGAGTCAGGCCCCAGGCCTCAAAGGGAGCCCCACCCCAAGGACTTGGTGAGGACAGTCTTTTTTTTTTTCTCAACCCAATGGGCGCTTTCTGCGGGCTATGTGGTTGGGGTCGGAAGGCAAGGTCAGTGCAAACGGAGGGAGGGGTGGTGGGGGCTCCCAGGGCCTCTGCTGCAGGGGATTCAGGGCCGGCTCCACCGGCCACTACAGCCCTGGGCAGTAGCACTGAGAGATATTTTTTAGGTTTGCGGTGGCTGGGCAATAGGAGAGGGGAAAGAACTCAGAGAGGGGCATAGGCTCACAGATCCAATGCGGGAGTACATTCAGGGCCCATTCTGTCCCCTGGGCAAGGGGTCATTTTCCTTGGATGTTCCCAGCATAGCATCTTAAGGCAGACAACAGGGTGTGAGGAGAAGCTGAAATCGGATTTGTTGGTAAAGTGCCACTTGGGCATGGAACAAAATAGCGACCTAGAGCTTTCAACCCCCAACTTGGATGGATCTGCAATTTTAGCAGGAGTGGGACGTTTTAAAGCCCTCGCTCTTCAAGGAAAGAATATAGGTAGTGTGGTGGGGCTCTGTTTACATTTTCACCAGGGAGGCAAACCTTGAATGTGTAAATACTGGTAGTTCAATCCTCTGACATTTGATACTTAAAAAAAAAAAGTTTGTTTATAGGAACACATCTAGGCCTTGGAAGCAGGTAGACAAAGTTAAAATGGTTGCACCCCGGCTGGGAACAGATAACAATCCAGGGGAAGTCGTTGGTAGGCAGCTTTCAGACCCAGAGGGAGTTTTGAGAATTGAAAGGAAGAAGAGGCCAGGCAGAAGGCTGAGTTGGGGATTGGGATGCTGTGTCCACCAGAGGCGAGTGGCCTCAGTGTCAAAGCCATCAGTATTTGCCAGTTTCAGCCTCTCTCATGCTCTTTTAATTGAAACCAAAAATGGGCAAATCTCTTCATGGTTCCAGATATCATGGCAAGTGATAAAAGAGATGGAGAACACGGGACAGAAAAAAAACTCATAAAAGATGCTAATCTGAACATCAGTCCTCACTGACAGTGTCATTATCAGTTAATTAAGGCTCTGCAAGGTCTAGGGCTTCATGTAGCTCAGAAAGCCAAGCCCCGAGACTACAGCCTTAGAAAGGCAGCTTAGAGGCAGGGGACAAATGGATGAACTCTAGTGTCCTTAGCTGTAGTTCTTGACTTGCAGAGACCAGACTGGCTGAGTGCCACTCTGAATGCACAACTAAAGGTGTCCCCTTTTTTCTCTCAGTGTCCCCTTTTGTACATTTTGCTGCAGGTCCAGTGGGATGCTGGGCTAGTCTCTGTTTTGGAAGGCTGTGAGGCAGATGCCATCTCCGGTTTGCCCCCAGTTTAGATGGCTTGTACCTTCTGGGGGGGTGGGGTGGGGTGGATAGTGATGGAAGGGAAATGCGGGCATGAATTTACCAGCTTTGATGTAGCCCAGGGACTGTGCTAGCGTGGACTCCGGTGCGCTGCCCCCTTAAGGGCACGTGTTCTGAGTACTTCAAGGGCCCAAACATCTGAGATGCTGCAGGCTGTAGGCCACCCTGGGTACCCGAAGGAGGAATCCTGGTGAGGGTATACTAACTTGCTTCTCCTTTTCCGAAGCCATGGGCAACCAATCTTACCCAGGTGGGCAGCCCCGCATTGGAGAAATGCTGTGGTTCTATGTCCGGTCTTCACTGTAGTTGATGGTAATATACCCACTGTACAGCACATGACCTCTGCCTCCAACTAAACAGACCGAACTGGGTTCAACAATTTATTTTGCACCCATGTCTCTTGGCTCTTTCCCTTCACTCCCATTCCTTACCCTGGAAAACACTCAAAGGAGCATGGGAGAGGCTAAGCACTCCCTTACAAACATTTTGGTCTTGTGAGATATTCCTTTTAAAATCAATCTGGTTTAAACTAAATATTTTTTTAAAAAACTTCAGTCTGTTTTTAGGGAAAATACAGATCTTTTTGAGGTATTTATTATTACAAAGGCAAGGGCAGTTTGTATCTCGTGTTTTGCTCATGAGAACTCAAAATAAACTGGACCTGAAAAGAACCAGGCCGGAGGGCCATAAACACACATTTTATGTTTACGGGAATTATGGCTCAATTCCCTTCATCGTTTTTCAAGTCTTGTTTTACCTTATTTTCCTAAGCAACATAGTAGAAGTGACTGAGCATTCCCTTACATATCTATAATGTTCTTACATAAGGTGAACCCCAGAATGTTTGCTAAGAACTCCTGAAAGAACATCAAACCCAGAAAGTGGCAGAAAAAGCAATGTGTTCCTGAAGATGTAACCGCAGCCCCACCTGTTCCAAGGATGGTGCTTCTTAGGACGCCTTGATGGCTTTGCATTTTGTCTGGCCTGTGGTGGGATTGCATCATTTTATATGCTAGCCACTTGGTCCCAGAACCATTAGGACATAAGAACAAGGCACATTGAGTGGTGGCGAGTATCTCCTTTCAACTCGGGTTCTGTAATCCCTCCCTTTCTGGTTTGCCTT